TCCCCTCGCTGCCGCTGCATACGCCGCTCTGGCTGTAGTCGCCTCGATACTCCCCAGTGCATTTGTTTCACTCGCACACCGCGCCGCCCGTCGCAGCCGCATGCCACATGGGTGACGAGCAGCTCATCGATAGAATTACAGAGGCGAGTGCTAGAAATCAGCCGATTCTGTACCATAAAATTTGTAAGCTGAATTATACAAATGAACTACAACAACAAAAAAAATTAAATACTGAAAAGACCGAATGGCATCAAGCTCGGAACATTCATAAACTAGCCTTCGAAGATGTGTGCAGTTTCATTTCTGACAATATTGTAAGAAAGAACAATTCATACTTTTTGGATTTTTTACCCGACTGCCAAAGAAGGAGGGTAATGTTTTTCGAGTGTATGTAAGTATGTATGTATGTCTTTTCCTTTGTGACCACCTGTAGCCTAAACGGCTTGATGGATTTTGATGTATGAGGTATCGTTAGATTTGTCTTGATTACGGGAGTGTCATAGGATACATTTTATCCTAAAAGTCCCACGGGATAAAGACATAATAATATTTTTTCTAAATTTCCCTTTAAAAAAATATGTATGCGGTATCATTAGATTCATTTCAATCACGGGAGTAATTAATATAGGATACGTTTTTTCTCAAAATTCCCACGGGAACATGTTAATTCTGCGTCAACGCAAAGCAACTCATGCGTTAGCAAGCAAAAAGATAGGGCGTGGCCTGGCATGCGGCGCGCGGCGCGGTGCGGAGGGGGATAAATGCTCGAGTATACAGCCCGATTGCGGGCACACGCATGAGGGCACACGTCGTTGACGGTCGTCTCTAAATAGCGATTTTTTCGATACTTCGTCGTCTGACGCGAAACTTATAAAGTATAAATAACTCGTTCTTTTTTTTTTTTCTTTCGTGTTTCTCTCTTTAAATTTATTCGTTCTTTCTAATTAATTAACTCGTTCTTCCGTTCTTTTTTTTGGTTCTTTCTTAAATTCTTCATATTAATTAATAATATAATAATAATTATTAATAAAATAACTAGGTAGGTAGATATTTTTGGTTAGTTTAAGTAACATACTTTTAAACAATCCTCACTTATTCTTTTTGTATTTTTTTTTTAGTTATAGTTCAACTGTTTTTTTTTATTATTATTAAGTACTTCTCCATTAGTACTGATTTTTTCGGCAATAGGTATCAGATCATTTTAAGAAATAAAAACATACAATATGGGATCTCTCAAAACAAAAAAGGCTCAGGCTCGGGCTAAAAAATTAAAAGCCGAATCTCCTGAGGCACGCGAAAAAAGGCTTTTAGAAGCAAGAGTAAGAATGTCCCAATGGTACAGCCAACTTTCACCTACTTCACGTCAAGAGCTTATAAATAACAAAAGTACCCGTAGACGTACTTTACAAGCACGTGAGTCTAGCGTTGATAGGGAACAAAAGCGGCGTAGGCTTGCAGCTAGCAAATCTGAAAAGAGAGCTGCTGAGTCCCCGTCGTCTCGTATGACACGACTCCAGCAGATGCGGGAATATGCCACAAACGTTCGTGAACATGAGTCTCCATCATCTCGCGCTGCTCGACTCGAGCAGATGCGGGAGCATGCGGGAAATGTTCGCGAACACGAGTCTCCACCAACTCGCGCTGCCCGACTCGATCAGATGCGGGAGCATGCCGAATTAATTCGTGAGCATGAGTCTCCATCATCCCGCGCTTCTCGACTCGAGCAGATGCGAGAGTATGCTGTGCAGTCTCGTAACAACGAATCACCTGGCTCGCGTTTAGAAAGACTTTCGGCTATGAGGTCACAGTCTCGTGTTCGACGGCAGTTGTTTACAAATAGTGATGCCACATTCAATGAAGCGATTTCTCAAGTGGCGGATGTGGTGTGCTACGTATATCATAAGCTTCTATACAAGAAACAGTCACGCAGTATCTTAACTGCTAATATTACTGTTCTACCACAAAATGTTTCAGACCGCATAGATTGTTGCAATAGATGCGCCAACAAATTGTCAAGGAATCAGTGCCCGTCAAATGCATTTTGGAACAACATGACTGTTGCACCTATTCCGCCTGAAATTGAATGTCTATCAGAGATGGAGCTGCGGCTCATTTCTCGGATAAAACCGTTTATAAAAGTGGTGCGTCTGGGTGGTCGTTACGGACAACAGGGATTTAAGGGGCAAGCCATCCTCTTTGCACAGCAAGTTGAAGAGATACCTGAACAGCTTCCATTGAATATAGCAAATGCGGGAATAAGTGTGGTCACTGAAAATTTAGATAACGTGACAAACAATCGACGATACTCGGTAGACATCGAAAAAATTAAGAAAGCATTAGAGTGGCTACTGCGAAACAATCATTTGTACTCTAATGTGCAAATTAATACTAACATTACCAATGAAGAGATACGGTCAAGTATTCTGGAGGCAGTTATCACATTAGAAAATGCAGATCACATTAGAAATGAGCCAAAAAATCACTTCAAGGCTTTGGGACATGACCGTCACATCTTGCGTGGGTCTTTTCACCAAGGCAGTGATCGGTTTGAAGAGGAATCCCGTGGCCGCCAGTGCACGGCTAATGCCGCCACGGCTATCGCCTACTCCAGTTCCAAACCATTAAATGAATGGGCCCCATCTGACTTGGATCGAATTTTATTAGCTGGTAATACATATTTCAACAGGTGCATGTCACGACTTGCAAACAGACCGCAATTTTTAAATACTGAAGAGCTATTACCCGCAGTTTCTGTGGCCGCTACAGAATTCGAATTAAATATACAGCCCGATGTTGTCGTTGGAGTTGTTAACTCGAGTGCGCCATCTGACGTTCTTGAAGGATACTTTCCTAATTTGTCTTCGGGGATTGAATATTTTTTTACAACACACGATAAAGGAATTATTACATGTCAAACAAATATTGCATTGGCGGTAATGAAAGTAATCGTCGAACGCAATCAGTCTCCCGATGTCGAGATCCCAGAATATTACTTATTCGACTCACATTCTCGGGGACCCAAAGGTTATGTTGCACCTAACAGAGGAGCCTCCATGTTGATGAAGTTTGCAAATCAAGGCGATTTATGTCAACATCTTGCTGTTGCACTACAGGTAAGAGGCCATCGAGATATGCAGTATAGTATCACAGCTATAAATGCAACACCCTTGGTCATCCCAAATGAATCGCCAGTACTGAATGAACAACACGACACTCAGATAGTTAACGACGGCAATCTGAATAGCAGTGATCCTGTTCACGAAGAACACGCGTTTGTTACTACAGCTCTTATGCCGATTGATACTAATATTCCAGATCTAAACGAAGTTGTTTCGAACGCTAATACCGTAGAAGAGAGACCAATACCTATCTACGAACTCAAACGGAAAACTGTGCCCCCGGTCAGCGTCTTGAGAGAGCAAAGAGCAGAAGAGCTAGCGTGGATAAGGTTATTCCCAGATGGTCGAAATGGGCTTAGGGAACAAAGACCCGTTCCAATAACACCGCTCGATTACTACCAAACTCGAGTGATGAGCAATGACAAACGGTTCCAATTTAACGAGTACATATTTTACGCCCTCTCGTTAGTAGAACTTTGCAAGGCTCAACAAAATGTTTCAGTCTGTGGCCGGTTGCGTCAGGATGGAGCTGAGCCCACAGATGTTGTACAAAATGTGCACCTGGTAATGCGCAACATACGTGGCACGTCCGCGTACTGGCACAAAGCGTATACGGATCTTCTTGCCATGGTGAAAAATTTAGGTCCTCCTCATTGGTATCTTACTCTCTCTTGTAACGATTTAAATTGGCCCGACATGCTAAAAGCCCTTTTAGTTGCCGATGGCCGCCCAAATTTTTCTTTTGAAGATTTGACCTTCCTTGAAAAGCAGCACCTTGTCGAGTCTTACCCAGTCACGTTATCAAGACAATTTATGTTGCGCCTAAACACTTTGTTTACTAGGCTGAGAAGAGAAGAGGATCCGATTTTAGGAAAGAAAATTATTGATTTTTGGTGGCGCATAGAATTTCAGCTACGAGGTAGCCCTCACGTTCACATGGTTTTATGGTGTGCTAATATGCCGGCTTTTGACACCCCTGAAGGTATTCAGTTGCTGGAGCGTGTTGTCACGTGTGAGGTTCCCGACGCTGAGGACGACTCAGAGATGCATGATTTAGTCGTTCAGTTACAAACACATCGACACACTCAAACATGCTTCAAAAATAACCGAAACGTTTGTAGATTCGCTTTCCCGAGACCAGTGTCTGAAAACACTACAATCTTAGACGACGAGCAAGCAATGAGAAATGGTGGAAGATTTTATATATTAAAAAGAACAGATTCGGAAACCATGATAAACTGCTACAATTCGAGATTATTAAAACTGTGGCGCGCCAATATTGATCTACAGCCTTGCGGGTCAGCTTTAGGTGTGGCGTACTACATCTCAAAGTATATCTCAAAAGCTGAACCTGCAGAGGTCTCTAGATCAATAAGGCAAGCTATAAGTGCTGTAAGAGACCGCGGTGGAAGCAACTTAAGACGGCTGGTTTTTGCTATCCAAAACGCAATCTTGTCTCACAGAGAAGTCTCTGCCAACGAATGTGCGTTTCGATTGTGTCATTTAAAATTAAGAGATAGTTCACGTAAATGTGTTTTCGTAAACACTTGCGCGCCTGAACAAAGATACCGAATGCTTAGGATTGACACAGAAAGTTCCGAACCGTACAAAAATGTATTTGATAGGTACGTTCACAGACCTCTTTCTCTGGAGCAACTTAGTTTAGGTGAGTTTGCGATTTGGTACGAGGTTGTCTCTACTAGAAACGATACAGAGGAGGATGAACAAGATGCTGATGCCTATGATGCTGAGGATGAGGACGTGTCTAGTCGTCGATACATTACCTTATTAGACAACGTAGGTAGGATGAAAAAGCGGACACGTCCAGCTATACTCCGAACGCGTTATTTCAATATACCTGCTTGGGTTGGATATAATAGTATGATTTATGAAGACAATAGCGTTAAACAGAAAATATCGTACCTCACGACGATTAATGCATCTCCAACAAATACATCTGTTATCCTAGAAACAATGAGACAAGCTCAACAAATAGCTGATGAATGTAGTGAGGATTATATGGAGGTCACTTACGATTTAGCGATTGCAAAAGTTGCTCTTCAATTGCAAAGTGCAGAAAAACCAAAATACAACAACTTATTCATTCACCTTGGATCCTTTCACATTATGATGGCGTATTTTAAAGCAGTTGGAAAATTTATTGATAATAGTGGACTAACAAATATCATGGAAAATGCGGAGATATTGGCGAATGGATCCGTAAATTGTTTTATTACTGGCAAACACTACAACAGATGCAAGCGTCTCCATCCTCTTCTATATTTAGCTCTGAAGAATCTACACTTTGAAAGTTTCATTGAGCAATGTAACATTGAAATACCTGGCGATATTAATGATTACTTATTGCAATTCAGTAACAAAAAGTCAACCACTCCGACAATAACGCATGAAGAATTATATGAAGAATATAAAAAACAAACTTTAATTGGCGAACATGGAAAGACGCCACAATTTTACATGATATACATGAATTTGATTAGTCATTACTTCATGTTATGCCGCAGTATACGCACCGGGGACTTTGAGCTTTTCAAATATATTTTACCAAAAATTGCCAATCTTTTCTTTACATTTAATCAACCAAATTATGCACGTTATACCGTAATATATCATCACAAATTAATGAAAGCAGGAGAGAGTCATCCAGGATTAGAATTGAACCTGCAAGGTGGATCAATGGGAGTAAAACGGACTGACAAACCATTTTCTCGACAACCCGTAGACCTGGCGCTTGAGCAAACAATCAATGCAGATGCTGCGAACAAATTAACTGGAATCAGTCATACAACGAATTCTATAAAGGCTCGTCAGCGCTGGTGTAAAAGCCATAGCATTCGTTCGAAAATTATTGCGCACATCATGGAAGAAACTGACTTGCGAGCTGATCAAGATATTACAGCTGATCTCGAGCTAATCAGAATAAAAAGACATTCGTTGCAGCTGGATCACTGTATTACACATATTAAACAAAACATGAATCCCTTTTCAAGAGATGTAGATAAAGATTTCTTATATATCATCTCAACCGGGCAAGCGGTTACAGAAGACATAGAAAATTTTTTGTTGAATGTTGAAACACTTGGTAATAAACAACGAGAAGAATTTATAACTGAATGTTCTGCAGATGATGAAAGATTTGAAAAAGTTATCAAACGAAATAAAATTCTAAATTTTAGGACTGCCGCACCAAAACAAACAATGTCTGTTGCTGGAAAATTACTGTCAATTCAAATGCAACGTGACTTATTATCGCCCACCTTTGGAGCCATGCTCACCGTTCCATTCCAACTGACCTGTTGCCAACTGAGTATGGATGGGAAGAATCTGATGAAAAATATAATTTTAAATGGTTTATGGGTGATCAATTGCCGCTATCCATCACTAGCATCACTAATCTCGACATGAACACACATGGTATGAAAGAAAATATCTTCTTTTGATTTCTGGCAAATAATATTTACCTACATGTTTTTATTTATTAATTGATTGATATTTTTACAGAGAACGACGAAACCGAGAACGATGGAGTATGTGAAATAAGCATCGATAATAATGATGACGACAGTGATGGAAAAGAAGAAGATTAATAAAAAAATATTTATTTGACTTATATTAAGTTTTTTTGTCAATTTTAATAAAAATAATCAAATAAAATTACGTTTCAATTAATCCGAATATTACAAACTAATAGAAATCTTATTAATGATGTTACCGCTTCACTCCCATGAATCTTGGGCAAATTGTTAAAAGACGACATGAAATGTATAAATACCTCTATTATAGTATTAATATATAGATACAATAAAATATTCGTCAGCTGATTGTCCGTTGGGGGGAAAGGCGTCAGTCGGAGCATTGAAAATTCCGCGCGCCATAGAGATATATGCATGCAGTCATACATTCCTGCTCTAGCTGTCGTGTTTTCCCCCACTATATATGCAGGTTTACCGTAATATATCATCACAAATTAATGAAAGCAGGAGAGAGTCATCCAGGATTAGAATTGAACCTGCAAGGTGGATCAATGGGAGTAAAACGGACTGACAAACCATTTTCTCGACAACCCGTAGACCTGGCGCTTGAGCAAACAATCAATGCAGATGCTGCGAACAAATTAACTGGAATCAGTCATACAACGAATTCTATAAAGGCTCGTCAGCGCTGGTGTAAAAGCCATAGCATTCGTTCGAAAATTATTGCGCACATCATGGAAGAAACTGACTTGCGAGCTGATCAAGATATTACAGCTGATCTCGAGCTAATCAGAATAAAAAGACATTCGTTGCAGCTGGATCACTGTATTACACATATTAAACAAAACATGAATCCCTTTTCAAGAGATGTAGATAAAGATTTCTTATATATCATCTCAACCGGGCAAGCGGTTACAGAAGACATAGAAAATTTTTTGTTGAATGTTGAAACACTTGGTAATAAACAACGAGAAGAATTTATAACTGAATGTTCTGCAGATGATGAAAGATTTGAAAAAGTTATCAAACGAAATAAAATTCTAAATTTTAGGACTGCCGCACCAAAACAAACAATGTCTGTTGCTGGAAAATTACTGTCAATTCAAATGCAACGTGACTTATTTGGTCAATTATTCTCGCTATCTTTAGAACATACTTTGAATGTTGATAAAGTTTTAGCCTACCCTTTAACACCAGTTCCTCTAGCTTTATGCCACATAGATGGGACAATATGCAAAACAGACAAATCCGCACTGTTGAAGATGCTCCAAAAGGAGATCGACAGCAACCCACCAGAACGATGCGACGTTATTGTTTATGACGGATTTTTCATCATGCATTCAATTAGGGACGTACCATCGTCCTTTAAAAACATATCAAAAAAGTTGATGCAAGTGTTTTTTTTTTTTTTTTTTTTTTTTTTTTTTTTTTTTTTTTTTTTTTTTTAAAAAACGTTGCCCCACACTAGGATTTTCTCCTGTGTCGTGGGTGCGTTTACAAACATACAATATCACATACACATGACACCCAGACCCGGAACAACAATCTGTGGATCACACAAAGAATTGTTCCGTGCGGGAATCGAACCCGCGACACGTTGCGCGGCAGCCAGTTGCCCAGCCACCGCGACAACCGTGCAGTCAAAGTGTTCACTGCGAATAGTGCTGACACTGTAATTATTGCCTTTGATAGATATACATTTCCATCGATTAAACACAACGAACACTCAATAAGAGGAAGAATCAAAGGACAACATTATCAAATAAATGGACCTGATCAAATACGGCCATCAAATTTCGCGGATGCATTGAAAAATATCTACTTCAAAGAAGCACTCGTTGACTTCATTATTGACGACTGGGCGAATGATTATATGGCACCATTCATCGGTAGCAAAACAATATTGGTCAACCACCTACGATGCTATCAATATAAGATATGTGAAGGCAAAGTGCAGAGAACATTAGCGTTATCGTTGGCATGTCCAGGTCACGAAGAAGCTGACACAAAAATTGTTTTTCACGTTTGTCACTTGACTTCTGATGCTCACGTTACTATTCGCTGTTCAGATACAGATGTTCAGATTCAGATACAGAAAATCACCAACTTACATTCAAGCATTATGTGACATTTCCAATTTACCAAATTGTAATCTGGATCAATTGTTTGCAACACTAGAAGAATATGTATGCAGATTATATGCGTTTACAAGAGTAAATGATAATAATGTTGCTCGTGTGATGACGTTCGCCAAATCATATGGCAATTATGATGACTGCAATCCATTGAACTTGAAAAAAAAAAATCGATGGTTCATTGTTCCCGCCCTGCAAAGCTGAACTGCAGCAACATTTTCTTCGAACGGCATATATCGCCCACCTTTGGAGCCATGCTCACCGTTCCATTCCAACTGACCTGTTGCCAACTGAGTATGGATGGGAAGAATCTGATGAAAAATATAATTTTAAATGGTTTATGGGTGATCAATTGCCGCTATCCATCACTAGCATCACTAATCTCGACATGAACACACATGGTATGAAAGAAAATATCTTCTTTTGATTTCTGGCAAATAATATTTACCTACATGTTTTTATTTATTAATTGATTGATATTTTTACAGAGAACGACGAAACCGAGAACGACGAAACCGAGAACGATGGAGTATGTGAAATAAGCATCGATAATAATGATGACGACAGTGATGGAAAAGAAGAAGATTAATAAAAAAATATTTATTTGACTTATATTAAGTTTTTTTGTCAATTTTAATAAAAATAATCAAATAAAATTACGTTTCAATTAATCCGAATATTACAAACTAATAGAAATCTTATTAATGATGTTACCGCTTCACTCCCATGAATCTTGGGCAAATTGTTAAAAGACGACATGAAATGTATAAATACCTCTATTATAGTATTAATATATAGATACAATAAAATATTCGTCAGCTGATTGTCCGTTGGGGGGAAAGGCGTCAGTCGGAGCATTGAAAATTCCGCGCGCCATAGAGATATATGCATGCAGTCATACATTCCTGCTCTAGCTGTCGTGTTTTCCCCCACTATATATGCAGCTGATTATCAAAATCAAGTTTCTGTAGATGTCTAAAGTCATGTAAAAAAAAATTCAATCGGCATAAAATAATTTTATTTTATTTTATTTTTGGCAAGTTCGCACGCTCAGCTGACGCATAATCCACCCTCAGTCGTGCAGCTGACTACTTTCTTTAAATTGTAATCAATGTCAATAACACGTGAAAAAAATTTCATGTGGTATAAAATACTTTTTAAATTTTTATTTTTTAACGTATTCCGCAGCTTCCCAATCTCGCATCCACAGCAACTGGACCTGCTGACGATCGATTTCGTCATAAGCCACATACATTCTGTTTTCCATATTAACATCAGCCGGCATAAAATGACTTGTTTAAAAAGCCGCTGCCTCCCGGACTACACCATTTAAAGACGGCAAGCCAGGTCACGACTGGTTTTCTGCTTTTCGAAAACGCCACAACTTATCTATAAATTAACCTCAACCGGTGGAACATTTACGGAAAAAAATTACAGATCTATTTATAATCTACGAATATTTCCAACAACTCAAAAATATTCTCAGGGAGTTGAATCTTAATGATCCAAATAAGATTTAGAATTTGGATGAGACATCTGTGACCACTAAAACGTAAGTTGTTGGCTCTGTAAGAAAACCATGTATTAGAACAACAGAAATTTTCTACTTTTCCTGAAATCTTTCCATAAGCATGTAAGATGCACCAAGGACAGTCCTTGTCTTATTATATTTGATAATCATGAGTTACTATTGACTCTATAAACTACTGCAAAGATAATGGTATCCGTCTTTTAAATATACCACCACATACCTCTCAAAAATTACAACCTTTGGATCGAATAGTATTTGGAGCGTTGAAGTCATACTACATTACTGCATGCGATAATTGGATGGTTAGTCATCCAGGGCGGCAACAATATATGATTTGGCTGGATGTCTAGGGCCTAGACTCTAGGCAGTACTTACCCCAATGCAATGACTCCTAGAACTATTCAGAAAGTTTCTCAGTTACTGGAATTTTTCCATTCAACCCTGATATATTCACAGATGACGAATGTTTAAGCTCCTACGTTACTGATAGAGAAATTGTGCAAACTGAAACAGACAATATTAAAACCGCACCATCTGTGTCTATCGCTGTGATTTTTGCATTTAACTCTATTTATTATGTTAATTTTGTTATAATTTCATTAGGTTATCATTTCTAATTTTTAATTTTGTTGATTAATGTTTGTTTGTTAAAAGAGATAATAATTTTATTGCGTTTATTTGTTTTATAATTTTGACTCTTATTCCCCCATGAGCTGACTTTCATTTCCCTTACATTAGAGTTAAAACTACTTTTTTGTTTTTTAATTATAATTATGTTCACGTTAATTACAGCTACAAAAGAGTTATATATCTCGATACCTGATTAGTTTTTAAAGATTAATAATAATGAAAATAATAAAAGACTGATCATTTGTGATTACAATAATGAGTTTTTCTTAAGTGACTCTCAATTCCCCCATCTCCCTAAACGACGAAAGAGAAATGTGTAACCCCATTTGAATCGTCAGATGATGATCAAGAAGAATTTCAGGCAAGTGGATCATCTTCTGGTGGTGAGATCAATGAGATTATCAGTGATTCTGATGAAGATGAGATAGTTCTAAGAGATGATTTCCCGCCACTGAAGCGTAGTCCCCGTGAAAATGATTTTGTTATAATACTTTTTAATTAAAAAAATGATAAAATATATTACGTCGGTAAAATTCTAGAAATTTTAGATAATGGTGATTTTTATGTCTCATACTTAAAATTTAAAAGATAGATTCAACAGAAATTTATTGATCCAAAAGAACCTGATAGGGTTGGTGTTAATATCGCGGAAATTAAGTATATTTTGCCATTTTCTAAAATTCTAAATCTTAAAAACTACTTACAGATTTCCTGTTGATATCTCTCTTTTAAATATGCGTTATTAAATATTTTTTTGTTTTGTTTTAAAAGGCTGAAGAAAATAATTATTGTGATACAACGAACATGACTGTGATTAGAATTAATTCAGAAACTTGATTGTAAACTGGTTATTTTTTTATAACCATATTTTTACGTTAGGACCCTGTTGCTATCATCGGACTACTAACGTGGCCCTATCATTGGACTGGTCCAATGATAGGAACTTTCTGTTTATTATTTAAATGTAACATTTTTACAAAAACTAGTTGATTTTGATAGTCCCGTGTCAATAATAATAATAACGTTTATTTATGTGATAATAATTACACGTGTATGTTAACGTGATAAATTGTTTCAGAATGGCTACAAAACGAAAGTATTACGTGGAATGAAGTAAGCATGAACCTAGCCATTGAATCAGTGCGTAACAATAAAGCAGGTTTGAATGAGGCAAGTAGGATATATGGAGTGCCTAAAGCCACACTAAAACGAAGATTGGATGGAGAGAATCAAAAGGCTAAGGAACATGTTCAAATAGTAGGATCTAAAAGTGATATTCCATCCGAATTGGAAACCGAATTATGTCAACACATCCTTGAGATGGATTGTAGTTTGTATGGTGTAACAATTAATATCTTCAATATTATGCTCTAATTTATAAGCTATTTAAATTTAACTATTAAATATTAATATTATAAATATAATAAATATTCAAATAATAAATCTAAATAAATAAATTATAAAATTATTTATTTGATAAATATTATAAAAAACAGAATATTTTTTTATTAATTGTATATCTTTCGATATTCGGCAGCTGGCATTTGAACTGGCAGAAAAGAACAATATCAAAAATCGATTTAACAAAGAGAAAAGAATTGCAGGTAAAAAATGGTACTATGCTTTCATGAAGCGGCATACACAATTAAGTTTGAGACAACCAAGAGCAACTTCAATGAGCCGGGCTACTGGATTTAACAAACCTGCTGTAACCAATTTCTTTAATAAATTAGAGGCAGTATGCCAAAAATACAACATAAAAGAAGCGCAGCGTATCTTCAACGTTGATGAGACGGGATTGTCAACTGTCCAGAGGAAAACCAGAAAAATACTGGCATTAAAAGGTAAGCGGCAAGTTGGAGCTATTACTAGTGAAGAACACGGTGCAAATACTACAGCCGTATATTGTGCTAATGCTGCAGGTAATTTTATACCACCGCTTATAATATTTAAGCGCAAGAGAGCAAAAGACGAACTCAGGGATGGAGCTCCACCTGGTACAATATTCGCTTTTAATCCAGAGAATGGATATATTAACAAAGACATTTTATTTGTGGTTACAACACTTTATTGAGTCTGTGAAGCCGACACCCGAAAAAAAGTATTACTTCTGTTAGATGGTCATACTAGCCATACAAAAAATTTAAAAGCTATAACATATGCCAAGCAACACGGCGTCGTTTTGCTTTCATTTCTAGCACTTCTAAGTCCATTGATAGCAACTCAGTGGTCCAATCAAAGCAACCATGGTCCAAAGAAAGCAACGACCAAAGAAATGTTTAACGTCAATTTTCTCACAAACTGTCAGTTTAAATTAGCTGTGAGTGACATATTATATTAATAAATTTGATTGGAAAGAAAACCAAAAATCAGTTTTATTTTTACGCAAAAACTAAAAAAGATATGTCGGTCGTACGGAAGTTAAGTGGTCCAATCATAGCAACCTTCCCCTTCATACAGTCGTATATCAAGTTTAATATGGGCAGCACTGTTCCATTAGAATATTCTTTGCTTATTTTATAATATCGTATTAAAAAACAGCAATTTACAACCAAAAATTAAACTTAAATAACTGTGTTAGTATCAAATGCAGCAATATAATGGCGATGAGTTTCAAAAACAGCAATCTGTGAATGTCAGCCAATCACAAGCGATAATTCGGTTATGCGTCAAAATGACGTCCGCGTTGTTTTTTGTTGTAAGTTTTATCCGTGTATTTTCTTGATTCTTCTATAAAGAAGTCGGAAGGAAAACTCAATTCGGAGCAAAAGCTTAGAATATCAAACCTGAGCCGTAAAATTGGAGCTGATGTCTCGCAAATGGCTGTCCTTT